CTGTGACTTGAAGTTGAAATGTGCGCTAAGCTCTGATTATACTGAGGTTCTTACTGGCTTCATGCTTGCTGAGATTCAAATCTGTATTGGTGGGTCTACTCAGCGGGGGGTTTTTTTTTTTAATTTAATTTAATTTAATTTTAATCTTTTCAGCTCCCTCTAACTCTTCACCGTCAATGTTTTATCCGTGTGATCAAGTAGCAGAAGTTTGTGATTTGAGATTCACACTAGTTACGTATTATAATTAAATTTTATACTTTTATTGCATTGTACGTCGTCCATTGAATTTTGTGGAAGCCATAGATCTTTCTGGCAGAAATCATGAGACTCATTGATTAATCACGTTTTTGTCTGATTATATTATTATTTTCTCCGATGTACTGTTGATTGTTGGATGAACGTGATGGCAGGACTCATGTTTGCCTTAGTTGCTTGGCATAACTCAAAATCTTTTTTGTGGTGTGTACTTTTCTTCGTTGATGTCGTTATCTCTACTGCATATTCTAGTTTTGTACTGTGCTATAGCAGATATACTATTTATTTTAACTTTTTACTGTGCCATGGAAAAAATTTCTTGCTTGTGGGAGAAATATTCTGCAGTAACAATTATTATTTAAGGAATGAGTTAAGATCTATCCCCATTTTTACTCATACTTACCCCTGTTTTTTACACGACCGTGATCTAAAGAGAGATTCCCAAGTAATAACATTTCATGTCCAAATCACTAGTAAAGAAAAAAGAAGTGTTGAGGAAAAATCTCCTTTGCAGTGCATTAATGCTCTCAGTATGTGTTATATGTTGTTAATTGTTTTGCAAGCTTGCGTTGTGTCTTGCTTAATGAGCTCCATCTTACCATTTGTTAGTACGATAATATCTCTACTTTTTTCTTCTTCTCCATTTTCAGTCTTTTTCTTGCTGTGTGATAGTGAAATTTCCTTATCGTTATCTGGCATTTTACCTCATTGTACTTGTCAGAAATATTGGAAAGCACCAGTAGTGGTTGCTCTGTCATGAGTCATGGCTCTTCATGGATCTTCTGAAAGATTAATTCTTATCCTATATGTTTAAATAGCTGTGTACCATATTAGAGGACTTTTTAACAGATTGATTGAAAACTTCAGTTTTCATTTCTGATGTGTTTTTGTTTTATTTCAGCTGAGGTTGTGGCAGGATCAGCTGCATGGCTTGGTCGGGGTCTTTCTTGTGTTTGTGCACAGAGAAGAGAAAGTGATGCACGCCCATCATTTGACTTAACTCCTGCACAGGTAACTTTATGCGTTTGGTGGCTGTTAACTTCCATTCCCGTTGAATGGGAAGGAAGGAGCCTTTTCCTCTACTTTATGTTTTAACTATTATTTTAGTTTGAAGTTCTGGGAGGCTGGAGAGTTAGTGGTTTATTTTGCTGTTTGGCTTTTCTAAAGCGCATACCACTTGAATGGAAAATGGAACTTGCTGTCTGTGTTTTGTGGAAGGGAAAAGACAAATAACATTTTGTTTCTTTGTTTTTTTAGTGTTTTTTTTTAAATAAAAAAAGATTATATGCCCATATTTGACGGCCTTTGTTAAAAAATTTTAAATGACTGTCCTTTATGCTCTTTTCTTTGGGCTGTCACATATCCTTTGTGAGTGGTTTGTGAAGAAAAAAGAGGGTCTTACAAAATTAAGAGTAAGGTAATAGGCTATTTTTTCATTGTCTGCGTGATGGGATGGAAAGTGGTCTGATTTTAACTTCTAACTTTAGATACTGAATGAGGTTGGTTGATTTGGGACAAGTTTAGAATAGGGGGAAAAAAAGAGAGAAGGAAGCAGGTATGGGAATAATGAAAATTATAATGTCTATTCATGTTAGGTAGAGAGATATTGCTAGATAGTTCTTGGATGTGTATGAATTTGCACCATGTAGAGATATTAAAGTGTTTGGACGGTAACCATCATGGGTGGCTCATTGGTCCAAAGGGGCTAGGGTAATTAAGAGGGAATGGGTTCAAATTCCATGATGGCCACCTACCTTAGGAATCAGTAATTTCTATGTGTTTCCCGGCACCAAATGTTGGAGGGTCATGCGGTTGTCCCGTGAGATTAGTCGAGGTGCGCGTAAGCTGGCTTGGACACTCACGGATTATAAAAAAAAAAGGTGTTTGGACGGTATATGTTTGATGTAGTCTTTAACAAATAGTAGGGCTGCAACAGTTATATTTCCTTGGTTTCATATTGCTCAGTTTTACTTTGTTTGGCTTTGATTTATGGTGTTGCTCAGTTTTACATGAGCATTCAGTCAATTCTTACACATAACTTCAAGCTCGAAAACAAAATATTGGAAGAAAACAGAAGACTCGATGAACTTTAGAAGACATGCAAACTTTGTTGCTTTGCTGCTTATATACAGTCTTCAAGTGATCATGTCAACCTTCTCTTTCAATCTCTTTGTTAATCACGTACTACATTTGAGAGTTTCTTGGAAACATTCCCCTCTAGATTACTTAAGCTTTTTGCCACGGTGAGGAGTGTTTTAGGCCTAAAAGTTCCAATGGCCTTATTTATAGAAAAGACCGGTAGGTTTCCTTTCCAGACCCAAACTTGTCAATTTTGCATGTTAGAAGTTGGAACTTTCCATGGAGTTCTCAACTTCGTACAAGGTGTTTACTGCCTTCATCACTTCTTTTATCTTAATTTTGCACATACAAAAATAACTCTCGTAGGTGGAAAATTTTCTGCACTTAGACTGCTCTCTCTCTCTGTTTTTTTTTTGACCCTAAAGCCCCTTTTCTTTTCCCGATAAGAAATTAAACACTTTGGCTATACTTTTGACTGCTCATCCATATAACCCTTTTTATGACTTGATAAAATCTAATGAATGATGATGTCCACGACTTTGTTATGAAAGATGCCAAATAAACATTAATTGACCTAATCTTCAATCTCTGTTTTTTTTTCTGGTAAGAAACCAGAAACTTTATAGAAGCCACCAAACAAAAGAGATAACCGTGAGACCATAGAGACAAGATGCTCTATGCGAGAGAGGAGGAATCAAGAAAAAAGCATCCAACCTAATATTTAACCTCTTTCTTTCTCTTATCTCTTCCCTTGAAATTATTGTCATTTTTACCAACCTTTTCTTGTCCTTTTCATTATAAAGTGGCTACAAGTTGATGTATAAGGGGAATGATAAAGTAATGACATTGACAATCACTAATAGGGGTCGACCAATTTTTGGGCAAAAACAATTATGTTAGAGAAGTTTAGAAAATTGTAAATTAGACATCTAAAATGAATGAGACCCAAATCTAAATTAGAACTAATTATAGATTATTTAACTAAATTTCAAAATCAAGGTTTGTGTATCACATTAAGAATGAGTAGAGCACATCAGAATGATTTTGATGTGTGTGAATGATAACACTAGAAGAGGTTCATTAAATCAAGAAAATCATGTTTACAATGAATTTAGTCTTATAACCATAGAAAAATGCATTCTTCTCCTCCTACCTATCCTCCTTTACATTTCTTATTTTCTTCTCTCTCAAACAAATCAGGTATCAACATGCACGTGCAAGAGTGAGTGTTACATTGTGACTTTCTCATTATACTTTCTCTTTCTTTCAGAAAGTTTTCATATACTACTTTCTTAAGTAAGTTTGGTGACAACAAACAAAAGTAAGGTTATTCGAGGACTTCTATATATACACACACACATATTTCCTTCAACACACAAGTAGTCTATAGGCAGCCCTTTTCTATGTAAGAGAAATTATGATCAATCTCATATATTCTAGCCAAAACGTAGATAGACTCATCAAATTTGTATGCACTCAAATCAATAGTTTGATTCAATTCTCAAATGTTCATAGTTCAAAAGTGATAAAAAAAAGTAATGCAATACAATATGTGTATATATATATTTTTTGATAAGAAACAAAGAATACAATATTATATGATGTAAGACAGTGGACTAAACTTCTCAACCTTAAAAGCAGAGCATAAAATTAGATCAGAATTGAGTTTCACTTGCATGAAAACACATGGAAGTTATTTTATACTTTTGATGCACTTTCCAATGCATTTGTTAAACTCTTGAGCATTGTGTCATGGAATAGTTTCTTTTGGTTGGTTTCTTGGTGGTATTTTTCTTTTCTGATTTTTTATTCCAACCATTTTTCTTTCAATTTTGTGCAAATGTATCACATTTTTAGTGCACTTGTACTGAATATGTTCAATATTTTCACAAAAGAAGCATAAAGGGAGTTTTCTTATATTGAACTTCTCGTCTTCCTCCATTTTATGCTTTCAGACTGAGCTGTTAAAATTAAAAGTTTTAATATTTATACTGTGGACGTATTTTCATAAGTGGTAGGTAGAATATCCCATGCTTCCTTGCTCGTCTTGAGAGATGCATTTGAATTGTTTAGGTGAGATAGCATCAAAATGGCATTGCGACTCTGTATTTTGATTGATCTAGTATGGTCTTTGTTGGTTCACTTGTTTCCTTTATTTATTTATTTCTCCATTTACAAGTGATGAGTCCATTTCTCTTCAACAATATGCACTCTCTCATCAAGTAACTCTAAATAAATAATAAAAAATAGAAAAAATAATCTCAGAATAAACTATGTAGATATTACTAAAATCTTCTATAATCAAAGACCTAAGAAGCCAGAGAATGGACTCTGTCCTCATCTTCCATTGTATCATCATCCTTGCTTTAAAAATATTTCTCACTCTCTTTCTTCTCGTACTAAACATAATTGCTACCATCAAGTTTGTATGGTGGTGTTGGACTTGCTCTTTAATCATGTGCCTCCGATCATTTGAACATTAAGTTCACAGCATGCTTCAAAATCTCAAGCCAGATCTTAGGCTTCAATACCAGTTTCCCCAAATTGTGCGACAAAATGGATCACCCATAAGAGGATGATCAATATGCTCCGAAATCTGACGCTAAATATATCTTTTTGGGTTAAATTATTCATGTAGGTATTGATATTCCTATGAGCTACCATACTAGAACACTAGAACATTTATACTCTACAGTGTGTATTTCTGGAGTTGCACCAATACTCTGGACCTCTTTTTTATTTTGGTGCCTTCTCTAGTTGGTTAATTATTAGATTGTTGTTGCATTGCTGGATAAACCTTTTGATTAAGTAGGATGGACAATTGCCAAAAGACTAACATACTTCTTTCTTGTTGAAAAGTGAAAATGCTTTATGAATAATTGGAAGGGGTATTATTGCTGCCATGTGCCATGTAGTTGATAACCTTGATCCTTTTTAAGTCAGCTCTATTGTGCTTTTTTTGCCCTTCTGTGTGCGTGAGAGAGAGAGAGAGGGGGCAGGAAGGCATGCTATCTTGATTTCTTGGGTTTATCGTGCTATTTCTTTTCTAGACAATCTGGAAGACGAAGACTCCCACAAATGTTAGATTCCGTGTTTGTCTTATAGCAAACAGAAGGATTAATTATTTCGATCTTGTCTTTGCATATGCCACTCTGTGATGTGTTGAAAAGATTTTTGAATATTGAGAAGTGATTAGTTACATTTTTCTTATCCTCAGAGGAAATTATTTGTCAAGTAAGGGATGCTTTGCATCTCAAGGACTTTTGGTTGAATGTAATGAGAAGACTTTTGGTATTTGCTTCATTGTGAGGCATAGGGTTCAGTTTAGTTTAATACTTCACAATTTTGAGCCTCGGCTTCTTTGGTTTTGAGGAATATCCTTCTATTTTTGGTTGTCAATATATCTGTTTCATATGATCTCTCTTTTTTTCTTTAGGGCTTCTTAGGTTTTCTGCCACTTCTGCAGGATTCCTTTGCAATTCCATTTTTCTAGAATAAAATGAAAAGACTATAGTGTTTATTATCTGTTTTAAGTCAGAACCAGTATCTCAAAATCACTGCATGTATTGGCTTTTCTACTAGGAGGAGTGCTTGCAGAGGCTGCAGAGCCGCATAGATATTGCCTATGATAGTTCAGTCCCGGAGCATCAGGTTTGTTTTCTGACTAACGTTTTTGTCCTTTATGATATAAAATATGGGGAGATTCTGTCGCTCTCTCTCTGTCTGGTGGAGATAGAACCTGAGGCTATTTTTATTCAGTTTTGCTCCTTTATGAAGATTTGTATTTTTAATAGGAAGCTCTAAAGGCTCTATGGAACGTGGCCTTCCCAGAGGAAGAACTTCGTGGTTTGATATCTGAGCAGTGGAAGGAAATGGGCTGGCAAGGAAAGGATCCGTCAACAGATTTTAGGTTATTCAAATTTACATTGTTGCTTCGTACTTGATGTCTATAGCTCTTACATTTTCCTGTCAAACTTATTCCTGTGTTAACTCTTATTAATTTGAGTCTTTATCTGCTAGGGGTGGTGGTTTCATTTCATTGGAGAACTTGTTGTTCTTTGCTAGGAATTTCCCGGTATGCAACTTTTTCTTCCCTTGCTCCCAACTCATTGGAGTTCTTGACTTAGTTTCCTTTGGGAAAAAAGAACTTAGAGACAAAGTTAGTAAATGGGAACAGAACATACTGATTTTGACGAGGAAACTAGACTATTACTTCATGTGTGTATGAATGTGAGTGTGTATTCAACAGAAAAAAATGAAGAATATTACAGTTTGGACAGTTTAGCTCGGCCGAACGCATTTATGCTTCCATTTGCTGTTCTTTTTCCCTAAAGTTTCTTGATATTCATTACAGAGGTCTTTCCAGGATCTCCTCCGTAAGCAGGAAGGAGATCGATCTTTATGGGAATACCCATTTGCTGTAGCTGGGGTGAACATCACATTCATGCTTATTCAAATGCTTGATCTTGAAGCAGGTTTGCTGTCTCTATCAATCAATATATTTTTGCTGAGGAACAATAGAAATTTAATGGACAACTGTAATGGGATTGACTATTGTTTTTAGCCTTCCCCATGAGCGAGTTGAGATTTTCGTTACTCGACTGAGAATATATAATTTTGTTTTTCTTATAGCTTCACTTTTTAAAACTGCCCTGCCCTGCATAACACTGAAAACTTCCTGAACATGAGAGCATAGTGTTTTTTATGTGATTCCAGGATCTAATTGTAGACTCTCTATACTGGGTGTTTGGGTGAAGGTTTGCGATTAGATGTTGAGCCTCCTATGTTTGCCCCATGGATTTGTCAAGCTGGAGTTTGTTGGACAAACCCATGAGTTCCGACAGGACCCTAAACCTACTCCCCCAAATTCACTCCACAACGTAGATTCCTAAACCCAGATTTTCTAATTGTAACAGAAACACAGGTTTCTTAAAAGCTTCTAGTAGTCGATAAGGGCCAATAAAAATAGTAAATGGTAGAGGGAATGACTTCAAACCATAATAACCACCTACGTAGGACTTAATATCCCATGAATTACCTTGGGAACTAAATGTAGCAGAGTCAGGCGGTATAGTTAAGATGGGTGGAAGTTGGTCCAATCACACACGGATATTAAAAAAAGAAAAAAGAAATAGGCTTTGTAAACTAGGCCGTGAAAAATAGGGTTCCATTATTTGCAATTCTAGGGTCGATATGCTAGCTTGTGGGAGTGTGGCAGTTCTTATCAACTAATGGCATGAAATGATATTTGCAGTCAAGCCACGGACTCTTGTGGGAGCAACTTTTTTGAAATTTCTTTCAGGTAATGTTCAGCCAATTTATTGAGTATTTCACGAAAATAGTATATGAGAACCATGCTTGCTAAGTGATAATTTCTCCCTGCTTTCGATTTCTCACAAACTTGCGTAACTGTTGTTATGGGAAATCTCTTTCTAAATTTGCTAATCCAAGTTCTGCCTTTTTACTGACAGAAAACGATTCGGCATTTGACCTACTCTATTGCATCACGTTCAAACTAATGGATCATGAATGGCTCGCCATGCACGCATCATACATGGACTTCAATGTACGTAATCTTCAACTTCAATCTTCCTTGAAATTGTCGAATTTGAATCGATCCGATCTACCTGCTGTTCGATAAATGCAATCTTCCCCAGCTTTTGTGGGCCGAGATTTAATTTCTTCCCCTCTCTTTACAGACGGTAATGAAAGCGACACGACGCCAGCTGGAAAAAGAGCTCCTGATCGAGGACATTTCAAGACTAGAGGAACTGCCCTCATACGGCCTTCTCAATCGATAGCTCGTTCACGCTCACCAACCACACAACTCATTTTCTAATGGAAGGAAAGCAAGTTTACCGGGTATCGTCTTCGATAGCTTTTAACTAGTTAGTGTTTTTGTACATGATTATTCTGCTCTTCTAATTTTCCACTGGCTTGCTCTTTTGCTCTCCTTGGCTAGTAGTATATCCACATCCATTCCACTTCGATTCTTACAGAGAGAAGCCTTTCCCACTTCTTTCACTTTTTTTTTTCTCGGAATTTGAGGTTGAGACTTCTTTGCAATTAAGTTTGATGGATGAGCTGTTAATTTCTTACTCTGCATACAAAGATTTCCTCCGATGAACTTGCGAATGTGAAACTTCATAATGATTTTTTTTTTGTTTGTTTTGTTTTTTTTGCATCTGAAATTTGAGATTAATACATGCGAAGAATGTTCCATTCTTGGATTACTTTCCATGGTTTGATCAACTCTTAAATGGAGAAAAAGGAGGAATAAAGTTGTTACCGATCTCGTTCTTATGGCTGTTCGTTATCTCCATGCTATGCTCGACAATAATGCATGTCTATGTTGATATAATTGATAAGGAATTATACTTATAGATTTGATGGGGAAAATGAAAGAACTAAAGTAAGTAGGGCTACACTTGCAATGGAACATAAAAGTCGTTTTATTGTTTTACTATAACCGAACATGGGATAACTTTTCATACCGCGATCTTATGGATAGAATTGTGTGAGGTTATTATTTATGAGGAGTATTAATAGAGAGTAGACATATATAATATATATATATATATATATATATATATATATACATATATATATTTTGTGTTTCAAGTTCAGGTATGAGTGCACTTTTTATAATATTTTTTCGTGCAAGAAATGATGGAAAAGTCTTTACATAAATTTCTGAGAGGGTAAATCAATCATGTCTGTTGAATTCGACTGTTTTATTGAATTCTGGATTTTCTAATATCTATCATTAAAAATTTCATGCATTTAGAGAATTGAGAAAATTACTGAATCTCTATTTGTTGTTATTCTGAAAATTTGTTAGAATTTTTTTAAAAAAATTTATTTTAATAGGAAATTTCATGTGTTTATGGAGTTTATATAAATTCATTAAGAAAATACTACTTTTTCTCAATTATGAAAAATGACATTTTTATTTTTATAATAATTTTTATGTATTTAAGAATTTTAAAAAACATCACAAAAGAAATTACTCTTAAAATTTTTTTAGTTTAAATTTTTAAAAATAAAGATGACGACAATAAAATTTTATGAAATTAATTTTACGCTATTTGCAAAATTTCAAGAAAGATTCACGAGACACTACTCAAATCTCAACGTTTCTTCTTCTTCTTTTCTTTTTTTTTTTCTTTTTTTAAAAAATTAATTANAAAATTAATTAATTATTTTAATTTTATTCATCACACAAATTTATTTTCAATTTTAGAAAGTACAGTAGTTGGTTTTCAATTTTCACTTTTTTATTTAGAAATTTGGATACGTGGATATGAATTTATGGAATATAAAAAGAAACGCATAATATTATGCTTTCAAATTCCCAAAATAAATAAATAAATTAGTTCATTTATATCAAAAATAAAAATTACAAAATTCAAATTCATACAAAATAACAGAATCAATATGTTTAAACAAAGTAAACATGCTATGCATTTAATATAAGAATCGAATCAAATAAACGATTAATTAAAATTAGAAATATCGATACAAATATTGACAGCAATAAATCTCATGAAATCATAGGAAAGTTACAAAGGATCAAAACTCTTTGAAAATGCCACCAATAATTTACAACATAAAATTTAGCAATTGAAAAAAAAAATAACAATAGAAATTTCAAACCGTCTAGTGAATTTGGATCATAGACCGACCACCCATGGGTAGGCGAGGAAGAAGTGAAAGTGCCCCTACCGCCTAGACCGATCGGCCTCTCCTTGTTTCTGTACTCTCTGTCTTCGAGAAAAATCAACCCCTGCGTGAGGAAACTTGTAGAGAAAGGAAAGAGAGAATTTAGAGGAAGACTGAGAGTTGGAGATATGGTAAAAAAAATGCTTGGAAGAGAGAAAAAAGGTTATGTAGAATGAGGAGAGAACGAGAGAAAAAAGGAAAATTGGAGAGATTTAAGTGAAATATCGTTTTAAAAAATATTTTTGAAATTTGAATTTATTATTTCAAATTCCCAATTCTCAGCTGAAGGAAAATGAGTCATTGTTGTCCACACCAAGAAAGGATATACAAGGTATATCTCAGATGTTCTTTACGTTCTTGGCATAACCCAAAATCTGTTAAGTGTTGGTAAGCTACTTCAGAAAGGATATGCAGTCAATTTTGATGATGGCAAGTGCATTATTCTGGACAAGAAAAATGATCAGATAGTAGCAAAGGTTGATATGTCTGTCACCAAAGTCTTTCCGCTCCTGATGCCGCTGGAAGAAAACTTTTCTCTCAAGAGCGAAGGTCCAGATATTTCCTACCTATGGCATTTGAGGTATGGTCATCTTTACTGCAAAGGTCTTCTTACACTAAAACAAAAAAATATGGTGATTGGCCTACCCAAAATCGAAGATAATGGAAAGGTATGTGAATGTTGCATTTATGGGAAAATCCATAGACTTCCTTTCCCTAAAACTTCATGGAGGGCTAAATCTCCACTAGAGTTGGTGCATGCAGATATATGTGGTCCTACAAGAACTCCAACTCTCACTAACAAAAGATATTTCATTTTATTTGTCGACGATTTTACAAGAATAATGTGGATTTATTTCCTTAATGAAAAATCAGAGGCTTTTGCTACTTTTCTTCAATTTAAAGCTCTTGCAGAAAACCAAAGTGGCAAAAAGATCAAAACTTTGAGAACAGATCGAGGAGGTGAGTTCATCTACAAGCCATTCATGGACTATTGCAAGGAGAATGGCATAATGAGACAATTAACAGTTCGACACAGTCCACAACAAAATGGCGTTGTTGAAAGAAAGAATCGAACCATTGTGGAAATGACACGGAGCATGTTGAAAGCTAAAGGACTCCCAAATAATTTGTGGGCAGAAGCTGTCAATACAGCTGTCTATATCCTCAATCGGTGTCCTACCAAAGCAGTAGGAGACAAAACTCCTTTCGAAGCATGGAATAAGAGGAAACCTGTTGTTCACCACTTCAAAGTTTTTGGCTGCCTAGCTTATTCTCTAGTTCCTTCCCGAGAAAGAGAAAAGTTCGATAAAAAAGGAGCTAAATACTTATTCATCGGCTATAGTGATGAATCAAAGGGATATCAATTGCTAGAGCCAGAGACGAAGAAATTGTTGATATCAAGAGTAATATTTGATGAAATGGCCACATGGGATTTTGAGAATAATGGTTCTCAACCTTCTCAACAGTACGAAGATATTCAAGAGCTTGATAGCCATCAAGACTCTCAAAATTTGAGCTCACCAAGAAGTTCTCCTTCAACTCCTACGAGATCGTCAATTGAAGCTACTTCAAATCAAGAAAGCTCAGAATCTCCCTCAAGAAGAATGCGTTCTTTACAAGATATTTATGCTTCAAGTGAACATTTTGCAATGTTTGCTTGTGAGCCACAAAATTTTGATGAGGCAGCAAAAGAAGAAGTTTGGATCAAATCTATGGATGAAGAAATGGCCAGCATGGAAAGAAATAAGACATGGAAGCTTCAAGACTTGCCACCAGGAAAAGAAGCGATTGGCTTAAAATGGGTCTTTAAGACCAAATTTAAAGAAGATGGTTCTATTCAGAAGCACAAAGCTCGTCTAGTGGCAAAAGGCTATTCCCAATAGCCTGGTGTCGACTTTAACGAGACTTTTGCACCAGTAGCTCGCATGGAGACAATAAGAACTGTTCTTGCTTTAGCAGACAGTTATAATTGAATGTGTTTCAATTGGATGTCAAATCTGCTTTCTTAAATGGCGAGCTAGAAGAAGAAGTATACGTAGAGCAGCCACAAGGATACATTGTTCATGGAAAGGAGGAGAAAGTTTATCGACTCCATAAGGCCTTGTACTGATTAAAGCAAGCGCCTCGTGCATGGAACAGCAAAATCGATGGATATTTTTGCCATAATGGATTTCAGAAAAGCCCCAGTGAATCATCTCTCTATGTGAAGAAGTAAGGTACGAATTTTCTTGTTGTTTGCTTATATGTTGATGATCTAATATATTTTGGGACTAACTCAGAAATTCTGGAAGAATTTAAGCAAAGTATGATGAAGAATTTTGAAATGACTGATTTGGGTCTCATGAAATATTTTCTTGGAATTCAAGTAAAGCAACATCAAGGTGAGATTTTTCTTCCTTGCAAAAAATACATAGATGATTTACTCAAGAAATTTCATATGAGCAATTGCAATCCTGCTGTGACTCCCATGGCACCCAATGAGAAGTTATGTTCCGAACATAAATCTGGTAAAGCAAATCCACAGACTTTTCGAAGTCTGGTTGGTTCATTAATCTATCTTACTAATACCAGGCTAGATATTATGCATTCTGTTAGTATTATTTCAAGGTACATGAATGATCCAAGCAAATATCATTATGTTGCTGCAAAAAGAGTTTTGAGATATTTACAGGGTACCAAAAGTCATGGGCTGCAAGCTCGTTGGCTACACTGACAGTGATTGGGCAGGTTCTCTTGATGATCGAAAGAGCACATCAGGATATGTGTTTTGTTTAGGATCTAATGCAATATCTTGGAGTTCGAAAAAGCAACAAACTGTAGCTTTGTCTTTCGCTGAAGCAGAATATACAGCCGCAACTGAAGCAACTTGTGAAGCTGTTTGGCTAAGGAGAATCCTCAAAGATATTCAAATGGAGCAGGTGATGCCGACAAAAATCTTTTGAGATAATATGTCAACAATTGCAATGACCAAAAATCCTGTCTTTCATGCTCGGTCCAAGTATATTGAGCTACGTCATCACTATATCAGAGATTTGGTAAACAAAGAAGAAATATTTTTGGACTTCATCAACACCAATGATCAACCCGCAGATAGTTCACCAAATCTGTCACGACTGAGAAGTTCGAGAAGTTCAAGAAGTTTTTGAAAATTACAAATTAAGAGGGGTGTTGAAAAATAGTAATTTGTCATTTTCAAATATGCTAGAAACTTCTAGAGTTATCGACACAAATAGTTATCTATAGATTTATCTAGAAGTTTGTAAATAAATATGTAAATAAAACACTCTAGAATCGTCTAGCTTTTTTCCTAGGTTCCAAGGAATTTTAGAGAATTCCTTTGGATAAGAATAAATTAATATGTATCTAGAGAACTCCTTAACTCTCTAGAATTCTCCGTAGGGATTTTCAGTGGAGCCCAGAAGGAGATGAGAATGAGGGCACCAGCGACGAGACACAAAAAAGGAGAATGAGAGGGATCAGTGATACGAATACGACATCGGAGCATT